GAGCTCCACACTTCTTGCACATTTTAAGGAAATTTAGAATGTCGTGTGTGCTTTGTGAGGCTCTACGTGCAATCTAATTTATTTGTCCTGATAAAAGACAGCACTGAGAAAATCATGAAACCTAATTTCTTTTTCAGATGTTTAAAAATATTAGTTAGGCCAATTAAGCCAAAGAAGGTATAGTAAAATTGTTTTTTTAGCTCAGAAGGTTGGAGGAGATTTAATTTTTCAATTTTAGTCAAAATATTTTAATTATTTCCTGTTTAACGAGGAAACATGAGTGGTTTAATGATGTACTTGTGGGATTAATTAATTCCTGATGTAAGCAGTCAGCTATGGAAAACGAGGTTATCGAAAATTTTTCAATGAAAAGAGAATAACTGACAAAATTACTTACGTTTTGCCATGATTTTTTTCCTATACCTAGTGTAAAATATGAGAAACACATTTGCAAAGTTGCAAACTGATCGGCTAATCAGTTTCTCAAGAAAAAAATTCTTAAAGATACCCTCTTTTCTCCAGTTTGACAAACCGAAAAATTAGCGACGCTTAATTTCTTTTTTAGTTAAACTAGTAAAGATATCGTGATACTTCTTGTTTTGATAGAAAGGAACATCCTTAGACTATAATAAAAAAGTGTTGTACAATGTAATTTTCAATAATATTATTTTCAATTTTATTTATCAAAAGTGATTTGAAAGCAACAAATTTCAAATATTATTGTTCCAAAGACTTGTAACCAAAAAACAAAAACTTAAAAGTATTACACCGTTCTGAGGGAAAGAATCAGTTTTTCTATCAAAGAACTCGGTTTTATATTGTTAATAAAAACATCATGAATAAAGATAAAATATTGGTTGTCGATTGAATCCATGAAAAAATGTATACCGAATTGAATGGACTTTATCCGAAGTTGATCAGTCGATTCCATTTCCAGTTATCCTGCACGGCAACTTCGAAAACGTGGTCTCGATAAAAACGCCTTTAAACTTGCAACCCCTAAAGCATCACCATAAGTGTGCTTGTAACCTCGTTATTTTTGTGAATTCGTTCTTAATATCGTACTACCATATTTTTCAAATGTTATACCTTCAATGTATGCAAATAAAAAATCTACTTTTTCACATTTTTAAACTGTACTCTCCCCTTAACCCTTTCCTTCCCGAATAATCCAGTTAGTCCACGCTTATTTTGTCACTGTGGGGCAATACCGTGTAGTTTCCCTTTGTTTCAACATTTCAACGTAATATTAGTTACGAAATATCAAGTTTCGGTATAATATTAATTCATAAAAGAATGGTTTATTATCACTTAAAGCGCCGCAACATTTACGAGTTTTGTAGAAACGTGCAGTTTTACAAAATAAAATAAAATAACTCCTGTAAAGCAGAAAATTTCTATTGAAAATTTTACATAGTGCTTATTACAGGCGCAGCGACGATTTTTAATGATATAAATATTCAGCCACTTGCTGTTCAACAGATATAATATTTTTTTCTGCACGAACATGTAAAAACGCTTTTAGGCGGGCCCGGCGCTTAATCGCTAGTCCACATATTACGCCTTAACCCTTATGTCAATATAGCAAACACGGATTGGAAATATGCCAAATAACAACGATCTGGCCGGATATATTCAAATCTTTTACCGAGAAGATCAAATATTTTAAGCGAGAATGTGCAAAAGGGTACCCAGGTACACGGTTATTGAGGTAAGGGTTAAAGCGGGTCCGGCGCTGAAAGTGTTATCATTTATAACGTGTAATTCATCATTGTACGATATCTGAAGACTAAAATTGCTACGTCGAGTCTGACCCGACATAGGGCCACAAAGGGTTAAAAGAACTACGTAAAGGTACTCACATGCTGCATTGGATAAGCGGCGCTACCTGCGAAGAAGTCCCATGCCCACGCGAAGATTCGCGCGCAGATGTGCATCGACGTTACTGCCAGCGTGTAGATCTCGTTCTCGGTATCCGCGACAGCAGAATGTCTCGGATCTGTTCTGTTGTCTCTGTCTCGATATCACCCGGTTACATCTCAATTTCCGCGAAACAATCGCGAAACTAAGAGATTCTCACCGACGTCCCACGTTTTCTCGCCATCCGCGACACATTCTCTCTGCAGCACCTCTAGAATTCTCCCCTTCCGCATTTCAGAACTCTCTTTAATCCGCTATAACACAGGTAACAGTATCCTCCGCGTGCAGATGCTCCGCTACGAAAACCTGAACACCTTTCTCTGATAGGAGGAGCTCGATCCTCTTTGCAACTTGATCACTCCAGCCTGTGGATTGCACGTCAAAGCTCTACAGGTAGCTTCAGATCGATAGAGCCTTTTCGTCTGATTAGGAGTTAGCGTGAAGATCTCTAATTTAATCCGGATTATGGTAGTTTCGGTTGCTCGATAATCTTCAGCGTCAAAATCTCTGTTCTAATTCCGATTGTGGTAGTTTCAGTGGCTCCCTAATGGAGATTGCTCAGACAGTGTTTGAGGATACCGTTGGATTCGTTGGATTCACTGGCAAGAGTTGACAAAGTCCATTCGCTAAATATTGTCTGCTTAATTTTGTAGTTTAGTTAGCTGACTGTGTCGAGATCATTGTTCTGACGAGGATCATGGTAGCTTGAGTAACTCGATAATGAAGATTGTTCAGACAGTATTTGAGAATACTGATGAATTCATTAACTTCAGAGGAGAGAATTGATTGAATTCATTGTACCTGGTGTTTCACTAAGTACTGCCTACTTAGTTTTGTAGTTCCAATCATTCTTTTAACATCACTGATGATTCAAGCTATCCACTTAATTTGGAGATTATAAGTAGCTTTTCACTGTTAAGATTACCAAATTTGCTACTTTCATAGAGGATCTCAATCAATAAAATCTCACAGGTTCCACTACTCTAGAGTGAGTACTGAAGCTGCTATCTCACTGAGTCAGCTGAGTCATTCAAGCAGTCCACTTGGTTTACAGACTACTGGAGGTTCCACTGTCAGGAACATGAATTTCACTATTTTCATCAAAAGCTA